GATGTACTGTTTGAAAGGCATTTGTGTGCGAGACAAACAGTGGCGAAGCAGCTGCAGCTGCCGTCTCTTCCCTCCACCCATTTCCCCCCCATTGGTATGTGTTTGATAAGAACTTGCAAAATGCTTCATCATCAAAGTATTTGATTGATTGGTGGAATGGTTGGAGGGTGATGTCCTCTGCTGGTCGTCGCCAGAAAACGAGTCCTCTTCGCGAGTGTTTTCGTCCCGTTACTGTTCGCGCAGTATATGTTATTTTTTGCGTGTAATTTTTGCAGAAAAGAGAATTGGCTGGACGTGAAGAAGACGAAGACGAAGAAGCTGCTGTTGGGGAGTGCCGGTGCGGCCAAACAGAATAATAATCCATACATACTGCACCTTCTGTGTACTACCGACCGGCAGTAACGAGCCTAGGAACAATTCACTAGCAGCAGGAAAATATCCGAAGAATCCAGAGAATGCCATTCTCGTGCTTGCCATTTTTTGCCTGCAATCGGCAAGTGGATACGTTGGATCGACGGCAATGCAATCTGCAAGCAGTACCGCATGACATTGATCGGAACGCACGAACGCTGGAGGAGATGTACCTGGATTGCAATCATATCAAAGATCTCGATAAGGTTACTCTCGCACTTCTTATTCCCTCGCAGCTGAAGTAGCGAAGCTAGTAGGATTTAAGGCGCATCACATCACTGCAGCAATCTTCCGCCCTTCCAAAGGCTGCCTCGGGGTTGAGGTAAGGGGAGTAGGAGGGGGTCGAAGTGCATCAGTTCTCTCTTCCCTCCCAGTAAATTTGCATATTAAATGATTAAAGCGCTGTTAGTTTTGCTTAGAATTTGCATATGTCTGAATAGTGAAAACTTTCGTTATTTTTACCTGGAATACCTAGAAGCTGTTAATTTTGGCCGCCCAGCGCTCCAGCCGATAATCTTACCGGGTTGTTCCGCCCAGTAACGGTCAACTTGCTGGCGACTCTGAAACCCGTTTCATCCTCAAAGGGATTAGCTTAGCCTTCAACGGAATCACTTGATATGGCTTTGACCGTTTCGAGATTTCATACTGGTATTGATTGGAACGCCCAGTTGGGATTTTTATGGCCACACTCATAAAACTATAAGTTATCCTTATTTTGGTACTTTTGATTTTTTCGAGATAGTCATTGTGAAGCGTATGCTCCCCAGTACTCCAGTTGAGATGGTCCCCCAGTCTTCTTGGAATTGTTTATGCGCTGCATGTGTAATTATCTGTCGCATCACTTTTTCTTATCTTTCACGATCAGCAGGATGCCGAAAACGAATGGGTGTCAAGGCCGCATTGGGCTACTCTGTTTTTTATGTGA